GGAAAACGACATATGCATACTCCTAAGAAGGAGGGTTTAATTAAGGTTGCTAAGGCTGGGGCCACTTATCTACAAGAAAGGGGTTGGCCAACAATATTTAGACATGTTTGCTGAATCTAGGGCCATCAGTAAGCTAACAGAGATAGATAATTAAACAGATGATGAAATCAGGATCCTAAAAGTAATAAAAACAGTACATCCCCCAGGTGTTGAGGAAAAGGAAGTATTTGAACTCCCATTCTTGTTATATCTGCAGAGTAAGTACACCTTTTAAAAAAGAAAGAAAGAAAAGAAGAGAACAAAGAAAGAAATAAGAATAAATATAAAATCCTTCATACAGGCTAAAAAATCAAGGACATAATGTCAAGTTAGGGCAGCTAAGTGGCATAGTATGGCAGCTAGGTGGTGCAGTGGATAGAGCACTGAGTTCAAATGCGACCTTAGACACTTACTAGCTGTGTGAGCCTAGGCCAGTCACCTAACCCTGTTTGCCTCAGTTTCTTCATCTGTAAAATGAGCTAGAGAAGGAAATGGAAAACTGCTCCAGTATCTTTGCCAAGAAAACCTCCAAAAGGGGTCTGAAGGATCAGACACAACTGAAAATGACCAAACAACAATAAGGCCAAGATAGGGTAGCTATATGGCTAGATTATATTTCATGTAAAAATATAGCATTTCACATGTATGACCTATATGTGATTGCTTACCATCTCAGGGAGTAGATAGGGGAGGGAGGGATAGAATTTAGAACTTAAAACTTTAAATAAAAATGTTTTCAAAATATTAGAAATATAGTGTTTCAGTTGATTGTAAGCAAAATATGAGTCAACTGGCATTGCTATTTCTTTTTGCTAATAACTTGGATGAAGACACAAATGGTAGGCTTATCAAGTTTACAAAAGATAAAAAGCTAAAATATATAACTGAAACAATGGGTAAAAAAAATCAAGAACAAAAAAGATCTCAAAAGGCTAAAACAATGAGTCAAATCAAATAAGATAAAATCTAATAGAGATAAATATAAAGTCCAACACTGGGTTTCAAAAAATTAACTGCACAACCTTACAACAGGTTGTGCAGAAAAAAAGATTTGGGAGTTTTAGTGGACTTTATGGTCAATGTAAAGTCAACAATGTGACAAGGCAGGCCACGAAAGCTAACAAGATCTTAGGTGTATTAAAGACGCATTATGTCCAGAGCAAAGGAAACATGAGCTAGTCCTACTATACTGTGCCCTGGCCAGATCATATCTAAAACTGTGTTCCTTCCTAAATGTGAAAGTTCAGGAAGGACATTAATGAGTTGGAGCATGTCCACAGCTTGTTGACTAGGAGGATGAGTGAGACTGAAAACCATTCAAAGATAAGTTGAAGAACCTTAGGGATTTTTAGGGCAGATAAGTGTCACAGTGAAGAGAACCCTGGGACTGGAGTCATGAAGACTCATTTTCCTAAGTTCATATCCAGCCTCAGACACTTACTAGCTGTGTGACCTTGGGCAAGTCATTTAACCCTGTTTGCCTTAGTTTCCCATCTCTAAAATGAGCTGGAGAAGGAAACAGCAAACCGCTCCAGTACCTTTACCAAGAAAACCCCAATTGGGATCACCAAGAGTCAGAAATAACTGCTAAAAATTGAAGACTTAAAGGAAACATAACCATTGTCTTCAAGTATTTGAAAGGCTGTAATGAAGGAAAAATAATAAACTTCTTGCTTGATCCCAAGCAAGCAAGTAGAACTAACAACAATGCAGAGAAGTTGAGGAGAGATTTCTGGCTTTTTTATGGAAAAAACCTGCTAGCAATCATTGATAAACAAAAGTGGAATGGGCTGCAGTCAGAAATATCTTATTTGTTGAGGTCTTCAAGGTTGTAACCACCTATAAAGAATGTTGGAGAATAGATGGAATTCTAATTCAAGTGTGGATTTGACCAAATAACCAATGATGGTAGTAGAGTTCAGACCTAGAACGGACCTTATATATTATCTCATCCAACCCCTCACTTCACAGAAGATGAAACCTAGCCCCAAATCATCAAGTGGCAGAGATTTGACCTTAGTGCTTGAAAAACAGTATTCTTTCCACTTCGACAAGCATCACGGCATAGCAGAAAGAGGTTTGGACCTGGAGTCAAGAGAAAGCTGGGTTCAAATCCTGCATTCGGCACTTACTAGCTCTGTGACCATAAGCAAGTCACTCAAAAATATAAGCAGCTAGGTGGCACAGTGGCTAGAGTGTGGACTTTAGAGCTCAAGGAAGACTAGAGTTCAAATCCTACTTCACACACTTCTATGTGAGCTTGGTCAAAGTCACTTAACCTCTGCCTCAGTCCTCTCATCTATAAAATTGGGATAATAATAGCATCTCTACCTCATAGGCTTATTGTGGGGACCAAGTAAGAAAACATATGTAACGTTCTGTGCAAACCTTAAAGCACTATATAAATAAGCTATTATTATTACATTGTGATGATTCTGTGGTCTCTTCTAACTATGATGCACTATGATTTTATGAACAGTGTGATCTGACTGTCAAAAAAGACAACACAACCTTAGGCTGCATTAACAGAAGCATCAATGTTCAGAATAAAAGAAACAACAGTTTCACTGTACTCTGTTAATCAGACCATATGCTTAATAAGCATTTGGAGTGTCTTATTTTAAAAGGAATTCACAAGCTGAAGAAAGACTATGAGAGTGAAAGATCTCAAAATTATGTCACATATGTTATAGCTGAAGAAAATGCGTCATTCATATATATGTGTGTATATGCATATATTTGTTTATATATACACATTATATATATATGTTAGTGTATTGTATACACGCATCTATACATATATGTATACATATGTGTCAGTGTGTGCATGTGTGCATAGCAGTTAGGTAACTCAGCGGATAGAGCACTAAGCCTGGAATCAGGAAGACTTGGATTCAAATTCAGCTTCAGACACTTACTAGCTGTGTGAACTGGGCATGTCACTTAACCTCTGTTTGCCTTAATCCACTGGAGAATAAAATGGCGAACAACTCCAGTATCTTTGCCAAGAAAACCTCATGAATAGTATTGGCATGATTTGGTTTACAGGATCACAAAGAGTTGGACACGGCTGAATGACTAAAAAACAACTACACAACACATATATACATATGTGTATGTGTGTGTATACATACACATATGTGTATATGTGTGTATATGTGTAAATGTTATCTCCTTAAGGACAGGGACAGTTTCACTTTTGGCTTTGCATTCCCAAACATAGCAGTGCTTAATAAAATCTTGCTGGCTGATTTAACAGAATCCTGAGTACAGAAGGTCTAAATGACACATGATAGCCATCCTCCTATATTTTAACTGGTGTCAACTGATTGAAAAATTAGGCTTGCTGTCTATGGCTTCAGAGCACACAAGTTGAACCAATAGGTAGAAGTGACAGGGAGGCAGATTTCAGCTAATTACGTGCAAGATCTTCCCAACAACGAAATGAATTATCTCTTGAAATAGTCTACCATTGCTGGAAGCAGAGGCTAAATAACCATGACGCACATGATGGTGTCAAACTCAAATAGAAAGGGAGGGGCCGTTAATTCATACATATGACACCTGCACCCACATATTGATTTAGTTTTTAAATGTATTATCTATGTTTTATTGTATTTCTGTTTATTTTGTTAAATATTTTCCAATTACATTTTAATCTGGCTCAGGATATACTCAAGGCTGCTGCAGGCCTCATGCAGCCCATAGGCCTTGTGTTGGACACCTCTGGACGAGATGACCTCTGGGTCACCTGGAATATTTTCTAACTCTAAGGTTCTATGGTCTTATGATTATCCAAACCAGATAATAAAAATTAAGGGTTTAACATTCAGTTTAATTTGTGTTTGGGGTGATATTTCAGATCAAATTCTCTTCCCTAAGCTGGTGTACCCATTACTTAGGTTAATTTTAATCTTTCATCTAGAACAGCAGTCAGATCACACTGTTCACAAAACAATTATCAGCAAGGATTTCCAGGAGGAAATCAGGGATGATAGTAACCAGATAAAAATGTGCAATTGCCAGATGATATCTTTGCCAGAATGAGAAGCATTAAACATTTCATTATTATTATTGTTGCTGTTATTATTAAAGCTTCCCTCTATGAACAAGAAATGACATGAACCACCATCAGCCTTCTAATTAGCTTTATTTTTAAATCCATTTTTAAAATCCATTTCTCTCAATCTTTAAAAACTCTAGATCATTATCCTTCTCAGGTACTAATAAGACTTTGCAATTCATTCTTACATTCTTTTCATTTACATTCAAATTATAACACACTGTGTAGCAAAGTAATAGCTTAAGATTTTAAAAGGATCTCTTGAAATAATATTTACCCACTAAAACGAGGTGTTTCCTCAATCCTACTTTTAACATGTACCCTTCAAAAAAATGGAGTGTTTGTTTCATGCTGTCACCTAATCTGAATTGAGTTGCTGCTACCATCTTGATTATTATATTTGGCATTCCAGTTCCTAATATTCCTTTTTTCCATCCTTTCTACTTGGACACCCTCCTCTTAGAAGGGAGCTTAGTAGGTGCTAAGGACCATCAGCACTTAATTGAGTCATGTTCTTTATTAAAATGAGAAGTATCACAAGAGTACTGAAAAAGGGAGATCTCTGGAGAAGTATCCAACTGTCTGAAGCATCTATTAGTTGGAACTCATAGATTTTTCTAGAACCTAGAGATAGGGATTGGACCATCTTCAAGCAAAGATTAGATGAACCCTTGCTGAAGATATTGAAGACGGAAAGTTAAGAGCAATTTAAGTTTGAATGAGATGGACGTTACGGTCCCTTTCAACTCTGAAGTTCTATGAAGAAAAGAAACAAAGTTAGTCTGGCATGACCTGCTCTTGATGATGCTAGGTGATTCAGTGGATAAAGTTCTGGGCCTGGAATCAGGAAGATCTGAGGTGAAATCCAACCTCAGACATAATGTAGCTATGTGATCTTGGGCAAGTCAAACCTCTGTTTTCCTCCTCCATTTCCTCATCTATAAAAAAAAAAAAAATAGGGATAATAATAGCACCTATCTCCCAAGGTTATTGCGAGGAAAAAATGAAATAACACTTATAAAGTGCATAGCACAGTATCTGTCATATAGTAAGTGCTATATAAATGCTAGTTATTATTATTATTTGGGTTCTTTCTATTTAGAAAATTTTAGATCTTCCCTGTAATTTTATATGCTAGAATTTTGACATTATGTGAATTCAAGTTCACTAGCCTCTTGTGAAACTGGGAATCTTCAGTTCTGCAAAAATCTCTCATTCAAAAGTCACTGACAGTGGCTCAGCAATTGTATTTGCCAATTCTTTCACAACTTGATATGGTTCATCCAGGCTTAGTCAAATAAAATTCATTGAGAGCAGAAAGATGATCTCTTGATACCCATTCACTTCTCTTGGACTTCAATTCCCTCTTATAAATTTTTGTTCCATCCTTTTTTCATTCAAAGATTGTTTTCTTTGGAAGAGAAAACAGAAGAAAAATATGAAGTAATTCTGCCTTCTCTCTATTTCACATTATCATCAACCCATCTTCCCTGAGTAACAGTCCTCTTTCATTTTTGATAATAATAGCTAGCATTTACGTAGTGTTTTAAGGTTTGCAAAATATTTTACATATGTTCTTTCATTTTATCCCAGCCAAATAGCATAGTTGATAGAGTACTGGAATTGGATACATCTTTAAAAGATGGTCATTTAAATTCTGCCTTATATATTTACTAGCTATTTGACCTTGAGCGAATCACTTAGGTTCTTTCAGCCTCAGTTTCCTCATCTGTAAGGAAAAAAAGGAATAATAATAGCATCTACTTCTTAGGATTGTTGTAAAGATTAAGTTAAAGTGTTATAGAAATGTTATTACCATTAACAGTAATGTTTATCATTGTTCAGTAATTTTCAGTTGTGCCCGACTCTTTGTGACCACAACTGGGGTTACATCTTGGTAAAGATACTGGAGTGGTTTACCATTTCCTTCTCTAGCTCATTTTACAGATGAGGAAACTGAGGCAAACAAGGTTAAGTGACTTACCCAGAGTGGCACAGATAGTAAGTGTCTGAGGCCAGATTTGAACTTAGGAAGAGGTATCTTCCTGACTCCAAGACTGGAACTCTATCCACCGTGCCAGCTAGCTATCACTAATAATGATAATCCTCTTCTTTTTCCCCACGTAACTTAAAAAAAGAAACTTTTTGTTGTCAGAGGATTACAGATCTAAGTATTACAGGGCCATCTTGCCCAAATTCCACATTTTATAGAAAAGGAAGGTTAAATGATCTGCTTAAAGTCACCCAGATGGCAGAGGCAAGATTCAAACCCTGACTCTCTAACAGTGCTCTTTCCACTGTCCCACACAGCCTCCTCCAATATTTGCTAGTTCATTCAGAACTTTAGCATTCCTTCCTATATCTATTCATCTAGGACCACCAAGCCATGCTTTTGTATTTGTCTTTAGTTAACTAACCTTGTTTCCATCTTCTTTTTTTCTCCTTTTATTATTTTTAATTTTTAATATAAATTTATTCATTTTTAGTTTTCAACATTTACTTCCACAAGATTTTGAGTTCCAAATTTTCACCCCATCTCGCCCCTCCCCCCCACCCCAAGATGGCATGCATTTTGAATATCCCTTCTCCTAGTCTGCCCTCTCTTCAATCTCTGCACCCCTTCTCTTATCCCCTTCCCCTTCTATTTTCCTGTAGGGCAGGATAAACTTCTGTACCCCATTTCCTGTATTTCTTATTTCCTAGTTGCATGTGAAAACATTTTTTTTAAACATATGTTTTTAAAACTTTGGGTTCCACATTTTCTCTCCTCCTCCTTCCCCACCCACCCTCATTGAAAAGGCAAGCAACTCAATATAGGTTATACATGTGCAGTTATGCAAACCACTTCCATAGTAGCCATGTTGTGAAAAACTAACTCTATTTCCCTTAATCCTATCCTACCCTTCCATTTATTCTATTCTATCTTTTGACCATGTCCCTTCTCAGAAGTATTTGCTTCTGATTACCCCCCCTTTCCCAGCCTGCCCTCCTCTCTATCATCCCACTGCTCTCTTGTCCCCTTCTCCCCCTATTTTCCTATAGGGTAAGACAGATTTCCATACCCAATTGAATGTGTATGTTATTCCCTCCTTAAACCAAATCCTATGAGAATAAGATTCACTCATTCCCTCTCACCTTCCCCTGTTTTCCCCCCGCTGCAAGAGCCTTTTCTTTTCTGTTTTTTTTTTTGTGAGATAATTTACCCTGTTCTACCTCTCCCTTTCTTCTTCTCCTAGTATAATCCTCTCTCATCCCTTAATTTTATTCTCCAGATATGACCCCTTAATCTTCAACTCACCCTGTACCCTCTATCTACCTACCTGCCTACATATATATAATATATATGTATATATATGTATATATGTGTATATATATATATAATATACACACACAATATATATATTCTATATTCTATATATAGAATATAGAATATAGAATATATATATTATATATACACACATACACACACACACACACACACACACATAACATAAAATTTTTTCCCTCCAACTACCCTAATACTGAGATCTCATGAGTTAGAAACATCATCTTTCCATGTAGGAATGTAAACAGTTCAACCATAATAAGTCTCTTATGATTTCTCTTTCCTATTTACCTCTTCCATGTTTCACTTGAGTCTTGTATTTGAAAGTCAAATTTCTATTCAGCTCTGGTCTTTTCATCAAGAATGCTTGAAAGTCCTCTATTTCACTGAATGACCATTTTTTCCCCTGAAGGATTATACTCAGTTTTGCTGGGTAGGTGATTCTTGGTTGGAATCCTATCTCCTTTGCCCTCTGGAATATTATATTCCATGTCCTGCGGTCCCTTAATGCAGAAGCTGCTAATTCTTGTGTTATCCTGATTGTGTTTCCACAATACTTGAATTGTTTCTTTCTGGCAGCTTGTAATATTTTCTCCTTGACCTGGGAACTTTGGAATTTGGCTACAATATTCCTGGGAGTTTTCTTTTGGGGATCTCTTTCAGGAGGAGATTGGTGGATTCTTTCAATTCCTATTTTCCCCTCTGGTTCTAAAATATCAGGGCAGTTTTCCTTGATAATTTCTTGAAAGATGATGTCTAGGCTCTTTTTTTGATCATGGCTTTCAGATAGTCCAATAATTTTCAAATTATCTCCCGTGGATCTATTTTTGTGGGTTCTGCTGCTTTAGAATTTGTTTAGAGCCATTTTTAATAGGTATTTAAAAGGGTTTGGGGGAGAGCTCAAGCAAGTCACTGCTTTCATTCTGCCATCTTAACTCCATCCCCCTGTTTCCATCTTCTTTACACATCTCTTTAAAATATAAGTTGGTTAAGCAGTTTTCTTTCTTTTTTTTAAAATTTTTTTTATTACTTTTAGGCAATTGGGGGTAAGTGACTTGCCCAGGGTCACACAGCTAGTAAGTGTCAAGTGTTTGGTCTGAGGCCGGGTTTGAACTCAGGTCCTCCTGACTTTAGGGCCGGTGCTCTATCCACTGTGCCATCTAGCTGCCTCAGTTAAACAGTTTTCTGTTCAGCCACATTGGTCTTTTAAACAGTTCTTTTTCTTCCTTGTCAGAATTATTTGTATAGATTTCATTGGAATATCATTCTTGAAAGAATGATGCCCCTTGTGGTCAACTTCCCCTTCAGGTAGTTAAACCATTGGATTCTACCTACCCTTTCTCTGAATTCTGAAACCTGCTCTTTTCATATTCAAGTTACATAGTAGACTATACACAGATTCTTCTCCTCTTCCTCCTTTTATGTTCTCTTTCCTTTTCCTCTTTTTCTTCTTCCTTTTCCCCCTCTTCCTCCTCTTTCTCATTAAAAGCTCCAAAATGGAGGTGCACGCCTGTCATCCCTACTGCTGGGGAGCCTGAGTCTGGTGCATTGGTTTAGTTCAGATGTTCTAAACTGCAGTAGAGCTAACGCAGATCAGTGTCTGAACTAAGTCCAAGGTAGACAGCCACCAGGCTGCCTAAGCAGAGGCAAACAGGGTCATGTCAGAAAAAAAAAATGGAGCAGGTTAAAGCTTCCTTACTAATTAATACTGGGATCTAGCCCATGTGTTACCACTGAATTTCTGGCCCAGCTGAGATAGGGAAATCTCATCTCAAAAATCACTAAAATGGACTGCTCACTTCTTTCCAAAATCATTTCTACATCAGCATTAGTTCTTCTTGCTGGTCAATAAAGACCAAAATAACAGTTCCCCTCAAAGTTTTATCTACCTTTTAAAGAATAAAATTTTAGGATTTTAGGAGACAATCCTAGCAGCTGACCACAGAGTGAGCTCACAATTGTTCTATCATCCCTTTGTACTAGGTTTGTGATTCACAAACTCATTGTCTACTGGTTTCTCTTTCTCCTGTTTCCCCAAATGGAATCATCTTTTCAAACCACATTTGGAAGTTGGAACTGAAGTTATCTTGTCTTGTCCATCAAAGAGGCATGAAAATTGCAGATACAGGGGGGGAAATAACCTAGTTTGCAAGACCGTATAAATACTGAGAAGTTCCTAATGTTGTCTCCAAATTGACCACATTCTGGGAATCATTTTTCTTGCCTTCTCAATGAGTGGGGAAGAGAGAGGAGAGAGGGAAAGAATTTGACATTGAAAATAAAAACAAAATTTAATTTAAAAAAATAAGAAATGGACTGAGCTCCTGCCTATATTCAGCTGGTCTTGACCTTTTGTTCCCTTAAACATTCAACTAAAACTGTGATTTTTGACATCTCAATTCTAGCCAAATGTTAGTATGCCAGAGCCAAATTTTCAAGGCATCATAGAATCTCAGAGTTGAATCCCAGAGGCCATCTGGTCTAACTTAGTAAAAACTCCACTCTAAAACATAGCTGACAAGTGGTCATCTAGCCCTCCTTACATAAAGACCTCCAGCACATGAAAACCCTCTTCATCCCAGTTTTAACCAGTTCCCAATTCCTGTTTCAGGTTACTTCCCAGTTCACTTCTCCTTGATATTGTAGTATTGTACAGCTGCTAGTTTTCCAGAGGCAACCAGTGGATGACAAAAGTCAATTCTCTTACTTCTGTTTGAGGCTAAATGAGTCATGATATGTTTTTTTTTCTAGACTAATAACTAAACAGCTTTACCACAAGTATCCAAAGTCGTTAGTGTTCAAGTGAACCACCTATTTATTTAAAGAATTTTTTGTCAATTTTTTTTGAGTATTTAAGTCCCCTAAAGTGTTCAGTAAATTGAGCAAAACCAATGCAGGTTTTATGAACAATTGATAAATACCAGGATTACCTTATAATTCTCAGAACTATGTAAATTACTGCTTCTCTGTTCTTTCTACCTAGAAAATATAAGTCTGGTTTTTAGAAAACCTAATGTTTCAGAAGGCCATGTGAGTAAAACACAATGTTGGAGAGGCTTTGGGTTACTCATCTTTATTCTACTGAACTATAAATATGTGGAAATACTACCAACACTCAGCCATTTAATACATTTCAAATGCAAAGCATTCTCTGCATGTCAACAAAACAAGAATTTTCTCTACCATTCTAAGTGACTAAAGTCTTCTGCATGCACTGAGTAAAATACCTATACTGAAAATTAAGAGACCCAGATTCTGAGAGAGTCAAATTCCTGAGCTAATTGTCTTGCACTGAAAATGCTTGACTTACTAGGCCCAGATGTTAAAACCTAAGAATCGGTTACAGAAGCCGCATGCCCTCCAACTGTCCTGAAGGGAGAAAGGCATAATAGGAAACTAGACACTCTTTTGTAAGTGGTAATAAATATATCATTACTCATTACTTCACATACATTTTTCCTAGGGACCAGAGATTATATTTCCTCATAGCATTTCATCATTCAATTGTTACAAAGAATTCTCATTTGTTCTCTGTATACATTTCAATAACCCATTTAATCAACAAAGGTTTATAGTACCATTACCTTCCCATCACTGGAGGTCTCCAAATAAAGGCAGGATGACCTTTTGGCGGGTGCATTATAGGGGAATTCAGGGGCCTCTGATCTCCTTTCATACTCTGACATTCTGAGAGCCTGTGATTCTGTGATGATGGGCTCAAACCTGGATATGACACAATATTTAAAAATCTATTTGGTAAGCATAATTAGCACCATAAAATAAGGAGAACAATAGATGTTTAAAAAGTATTAGAGGTAGCTAAGAGTCATAATGGGTAGTGAGCTGGTACTGGAGACAGAAAGACTTGAGTTCAAATCCAGCCTCAGACACTTAACTAGCTTGTGTGACTCTGGGCAAGTCACTTAACCTCTGTTTTCCTCCATGTCCTTAACTGTGTTGCAGGGTTGTTATGAGGATTAAACGAGATAATATTTTGGTAAGGAGCTCAGCATAGTATCTGGAGTGTAGTAGGTGCTATATAAATTCATATTCCCTTCCCTTTTCCTAGTTCTAATTTAAAGCACAATCAGGATTCAGAAGAAAGATTACTATGTTTTACAGATGATATGATGGCATACTTAGAGACTCCTAGAGAACTAACTAAAAACCTACTTGAAATAATTAACAACTTTAGCAAAGTTGCAGGATATAAAATAAACCCACATAAATCATCAGCATTTCTATATATTACCAACAAAGCCCAGCAGCAAGAGATAGAAAGAGAAATTCCATTTAAAATAACTGTAGACATTATGAAATATTTGGAAGTCTACCTGCCAAGACAAACCCAGGAATTATATGAACACGATTACAAAACACTTTTCACACAAATAAAGTCAGACATAAACAATCAGGAAAATATCAATTGCTCATGGGTAAGCTGAGCTAAAATAATAAAAATTCTACCTAAATTAATTTACCTATTCAGTGTCATACCAATCAAACTACCAAAAATCATTTTATAGAGCTGGAAAAATAATAACAAAATTCACGTGGAAGAACAAAAGGTCAAGAATATCAAGAGAATTAATGTTAAAAAAATGCAAAGGAAGGTGGCCTACGCCATACCAGATCTAAAACTATATTATAAAGCAGCAGTCATCAAAACTATTTGGTACTGTCTAAGAAATAGAGTGGTAGATCAGCATACTAGATTAGGTACACAAGCCACAGTAATCAGTGACTATACTACTCTAGTGTTTGATAAACCCAAAGACTTTAGTTTCTGGAATAAGAACCCACTATTTGACAAAAATTGCTGGGAAAACTGGAAAATAGTATGGCAGAAACTAGTCATGGACCAACACCTCACACTCTAAACAAGTTCTTTTTTTTTTAATTTTATTTTTAGGCAATTGGGGTTAAGTGACTTGCCCAGGGTCACACAGCTAGTAAGCGTCAAGTGTTTGGTCTGAGGCCGGATTTGAACCCAGGTCCTCCTGACTTCAGGACCAGTGCTCTATCCACTGTGCCACCTAGCTGCTCCAACATCTCACACTCTATACCAAAACAATGTCATAATGAGTACATGATTTAGACATAAAGGATGATATCATAAGCAAATTCAGAGAGCAAGGAATAGTTTACCTGTCACATCTATGGAGAAGGGAAAAATTTATGACCAAACAAGAGATAGAGCACATTATGAAATGCAAAATGGATAATTTTGATTTCATTAAATTAAAAAGGTTTTACACAAACAAAAACAATGCAACCAGGATTAAAAGAAAAGCAGAAAGAAGGGAAATAATTTGTACAGTCAGTGTTTTTGATAAAAGCCTCATTTCTAAAATATATAGAGAACTGAGTCAAATTTACAAGAATACAAGTCATTCCCCAATTGATAAATGGTCAAAGGATAAAAATAGGAAGTTTTCAAATGAAGAAATTAAAGCTATCTATAATCATATGAAAAAATGGTATAAATCACTATTGATTTTAGAGAAATGCAAATTAAAACAACTCTGAAGTACCACCTCACATCTATCAGATTAGCTAATATGACAGAAAATGAAAGTAATAAATGTTGCAGAAGACAATGGGAAAATTGGAACACTAATGCATTGTTGGAGGAGTTGTGAACTGATCCAACCATGCTGGAGAGCAATTTGGAACTATGTCCAAAGAGCAACCAAGCTATGCATCCCCTTTGATCCTGCAACACCACTACCATCCCGAATAGGTCATAACAAAGGGAAGAGGACATACACGTACAAAAATATTTATAGCATCCCTTTTTGTGATGGCCAAGAATTAAAAATTGAGGGAATGGCCATCAGTTGGTGAATGGCTAAACAAGCTGTAGTATACATTGTAGAATACAATGGAATACTATTGTGCTATAAGAAATTATGAGCAGGCAGATTTCAGAAAAACCTGGAAAGACTTACATGAACCAATACTGAGTGAAGTGAGCAGAACCAGTAGAACACTGCACACAGCAATAGCAACATTGTGTAATGATTACCTAGGCTAGACTTAGCTCTTCTCAGCAATAAAATGATCCAAGACAACTCCAACAGACTCATGATGGAAAACGCTAACAATATCCAGAGAAAGAATTATGGAGTCTGAATGCAGAACAAAGCATACTATTTTCACTTTTTTTTTGTTTTCCGTGGCTTTTCCCTTTTATTCTGATTCTTCTTTCACAGCATGACTAATGTGGAAATATGTTTAACACAATTGTACATGTATAGCCTATATCAGATTACTTGCTGTCTTGGGGAGGGGGAAGGGAAGGGAGGGAGGGAGAAAAATTTGGAACTCAAAATTTTACAAAAATGAATGTTGAAAACTATCTTTACATGTAATTGGGGAAAAATAAAATACTATTAAGGAAAAAAGGAAAGAAATATTACTATGGGCCAGAGGAGTTGAAAAAGTGTTTCTTGGAGAATTTAGAGTGTTAACTTGGTGTAAGAGGAAGGAAAGGTTTTAAAGAGGTAAAGATGGATTTATTCTCACAAGGGAAGAGGGTAGAACAGCATGAACCAAGACAGAGAAGCACGTGTTAATCAGTACATAATCAAGAAAATGGTCCTACACACACAACGGATGTGTCTGTAATGAGAAGTAAAGTTAGACAGGCAAGATGGGCCTAAATCACAACAGTTTGAAAGAAAGGCAGGCATTTTGGACACGAGAGAGCCATTGCAATTTCTGCATTTATAATTCCTTTTATAACCTAGATTCTGTTAGGAAGACCTTGTTTTCAAATGATAGAATATAAGGAAGACATAAGGTGATATCTCAAAGAAAGACCCTTCCTAAGCTTATACAAGGCTCCATGAAGTATCACAGTGAAATGACCTCAAAGACAATAGTGGCAAGTTTTCAGTGCCAAGCACAGTACAATTTCTTTAAGTATCTGAAAGATACTCAAAGGAGGCAGTATTGGGCAATAGAAAGTAGGATGGATTTCCAATCAAAGGGCCTGGCTTTGAATCATGGTTCCACCACTAACTCCTCATATGACCTTAGACAAGTCATTTTCCTTGCTCCTGTTTCCTGACCTTGTAAACGAAGCAATTGTCCTAGATGACCTCTGAGATCCCCTCTATGATCCTCCTTCTATGTAAAAATGATTGCTACATGCTGCATCAATTAGGAGCTGCATTGTCATTCTTGAAGTATAGCTTAGCATGGGCTGTCTCTCCTCAGCACCAAAACAAACCTATTTGAAGAGGAAAAGTTCAGTCAACTCAGAGTTTGTTGACACACGAACAGTCAAAGTTCAATTACACAAGTCTATCCAACGAACTGGAACAAGATGAATCACAAGGATCTAGTTATCTCCTCTAGCTAGAAGAGAAAAAAAAAAATTTCCAAGCTACTTTTAGACCTGGCAATACTGTAAATGCCCGAGGGTGTAATTTGCAGTCCAATCTGTCATTTCCAGGGGATTCTGGAAGGCCATGGTTTCTTTGAGATATTTAGAACAGTATAGAAAAGGGAACATTCCCACAATGCACTCCTGCAGTGCCCCCAAGAACCCAAACCCAGCCCTGCAGATGTTGCCTAATGTATCCAGACTCTGGCAGGAGGGAGTCTTTTCAAGACTCATTGATTATCTTTGCTTTCTGGACGGCTATTCATCTGTCACTATTCATTTTTCGATCTTGGTTCTGAAATATTTGCATACCAGCTTTAGGGGAGGCAAACATCTGAGAACTTCTCCCTCAAGATTTTCCTCAGGTACATAGAATGCATCTAAAAACCAGTAGCAATCTGCAATCTCTTTTCAGAGACAGTATTTTGAAAGGGCTTGGAAGGAATGTCCTGTTTGGAGTTAATGATGTCTTTGAAAAGATAACCATACATTCAAAAGAAAATACTCATATTTTTACATAATAATAACTAATTGCCTGGATTTTCCCCCCATAGATCTGTTTATCTGGTCTTGCTAATGATGGTGTTTATTCTACTCTACACAATTTTCAAACCTGCTATGCACGCAAAACAAAAACATTTAATTTACAATCTTCAGTAGGATCTTGAAACTGCAAGGGAAAATAGTCTATATGTCTTCCATTCCAACATTATGGGTTGTATTTTTCTCCCTTCTTCCACTCCCCCCACCCACCCAAAGAGACATTCTGTCCCTTGGTTTGATATCATGTTTTGTTCTAGAAGCCAAGCAAAATCGTTTCGTAAAGCCAGGGAAAAAATAATGACTCTGTTATAGGATACACCCTGCTGTTCGTTATTTCAATTACTTTTTAAAGTCGCAGGATGTGCTCTAGTAGATCCACAAAAGGAATGTTCTACTACAAAGAAAATACATAGAGGTCAGGCCTAAATGAGAGCATGATAATTTCATTCCAAAAATTGTTAAAAAGAAGCAATGTGGTGCATTGGAAAGTTTGCTAGATTTGGAAACCCGGAACCTGAGTTCAAATCCCCACTTTTGCTGCTTATTAATCCAGTGTGGCTCTGGGCAAGTCACATGCTCTCTGAGACTGTAAATCAGGGGATTGGACTACATGACCCTGGATTCACCTTCCATTTCCTAAACTATGATCCTACCTAGCATTTATGAACCATGGGATGGTTCAATGGAAAATGTACCAGTTCTAGAATTATAGGTTGTTGTTCAGTTATTTTAGCCATGTCTGACTCTTTGTGATCCCATTTGAGGTTTTCTTGGTGAAGATGCTACA